GCATTTAAAAATCTCGCTGCCTTGCCAGGAAGGTGGTGCATGTTGTTGCCGTGGCTGTATGAAGCTACCAAGTCAATGAAGGACTGGAAGTGTGTTGATTGGGGCCTCTGAGTGTAGCTGGTACAGTTTTTGTACCATTTTAAATCGGTAAATGCAACAATGATGTTAGCTTTTGAATATGCATTGGTGATGCTGGGTGAAGAAGCCAGAGGTACAGTGATAAAATGCCCTTGTTTGGCATTTTTATATTTTCTGRCTTTATTTAGGTCTTATTTGAGTTTTCTAGACCTGTATATTAAATGCCTACTCAATCTCCTTTCCCTTGCCTCTAAAAAAATATTAGCAAGGAAGTGTTTAGTTTCAGCTTTAGAAGATTGGGCAAAGGGGCTAAATGGGCATTCACCAGAACTGTGCCATGTTAGTAGTAGGTGTTTCATTAATTGTGCACTACAAAAGCAACAAATGCTCCTTGCTAATTGAACCGCTGACTTTGACAGCCTAAACTTAACTCTTATTCCCTAGTTTAACTTCAGACTTCCCAGACCTGCCTTTTCTTTTTTCTTTTTTCTTTTTTTCTTAAGCTTTGGTATAATGTTTTTGTAGTCCAACAGAAGGACTTAATTTACATCTAAGACCAAGCTCGACAGATATTAGGGATTTGAATTCTCAAAGCAATGTGAAAGTGTACAGAGTTTTCACAACTATGATACCAATTAATTAAGCAATGGATTGAAAAAYGATGTGCATCAGTTAGGCAAATTTTACTGTGAAAAGCTCTTTCAGCAGGTATTCATATACCTGCTGAATATATTCATATAGTCTGAATATATTCATACTCATATAGTATCTCATAACAGCATCCAGTGGATGAAGCAGAACATCCCATGAATGGTGAAACAAATCTGGCACTATGTACCACAGAATATTCCAGTTGCTATAGGCATAATTTCATTTATGAGTCATCATGATGACTTTCATATGGGAGCAGAATTAAATTGTGCATCCAGCTTTTACTGGCACGTCACAGTTTTGAGGGTATTTCTGTGCAACATGAACATTATCTCAACATCTAACTTCTGTAGAATCTCTGTTAAAAGAAAGAGTGATAAATATTGGAAGGCATTACTTTTAATCTTTGGCAAATGGCTGGGTACTAAATGAACTATTTATATGGAGAAATACACCTTTGCATTAATAAGAAATGCGTTCTCCTAGGGTGTCTAAATTTCCAGTGCTGTAACAAGCACACGGAGTGTGCATGGAGTGGTGTGGCAAGCAGGCGCAGGAAGCTGGATCCTGCAGTGATGGGAAGAGCAGGCACGTCTGTTCCTTGCTCTCGGAGAGGATATGGTGGAAGCAACCRTAGTTGAAAGGCACAATGTGAAGTGCTTTGAAACTTGAGGAGAAAAGACTTTAAATAGTCATTAATTAAAAACAAACAAACCCCCAGACTATTTCATGCATCCTTATGTTCTTGCTTAGCAAGCAGCAATTTTGGCTTTTCCCTTCTCCAGAAAGGAGAACTTCACTGAAATCAAATACTGAAAACCACCACTGAACTATCAAATATGGTAATCCTGTTGTAATCCTGTTATCCATATGGACCTAACATTATTTTGAATCCATGTTTGCCTACATTGCCAATTACATCTTCCCCTTTAATATTTGATATTATCTGGGGCAAAACATGAAGGGAAGTTACACAGAATGTCATAAAAGAGAGCATTTCTTCCTTTGGAAACACCTGATGCCATGTAATATAAGTACAGCCTTCTGCTGTATTCCAGGCCTTGATTTACTTTTCCCCCCGATACAGCTCATAAAKGTCTACATAATATTCCCGCCCTCTCAGCTTTGGTGATAATTGGATTATTGGAAAATGAGTTGTTGAAAACCTTTCCTTTTTAATCTTGTGTTTGAAAAACAGAACACAATGTCTACTGCTGCTAAATTCAAACCTTTTTGTGTATTTTCCCCTTGTATGATAAGGTTTATATTCTATTTATACTCAAATATAAATTTATATATAAAAATATTTATGTTTTATATAATCAGGTGCTAGGGATATTATAAAATATCTTCTTTATAAGTTTATTGGAAAAATTTGAAAGCACCTTCCATCTTTATTAAAATTTATTCTAGAGAATTTCTGAAGATAGACACCTGACAGAGCAGTAACTAGAGGGAAAGGTGCACAGAAACAGTGGACAGTCAAGTAGGTGGCTTTATGGCATAGTAAGGGTCCTGATTTTTAAAACAGTGTAGACTTTAAAATACACAGTCTTATGTACCACACAGAGGAGATTATTGTCCAGCACCACATTTGAATTTGCGCAGAACTTACATGAATGTTTCCCCTGAGAAAGGCAGCTGTTGGTGCATAATCATTAAGACATTTCCATTGCCTGAGCTTGTAGTTCCAAGGATGTCATGTTTTTGTGGTTAGAAAGATCTTATTTCTTCTTGGATTTTTCTAACCTGTAGTGCTAGCTATTGTATGATTATCCCTTTCTTTGTTATATTAAACATTCCACTAGTAACTGGATTTTTTTTCTCCCTACATGGATTTTTTTGAGTATTGACCATAAAAATCTTTAAACCTTTTCTCCAAACCTGCATAGATSGGGCTCAGTGAATCTCTACTATGAGACAGTTTCCTCTCATGACATTACTCTTTGTCTGGTGTAGCCTGAGTTTTTCAAATAATTGTTGATTACACAGGCTGCAGAATTAAGCATACTACTGCAGAACCCAGCAGTCATACTCTTGGTGCTTACAAAGATGAGACCTGCTCTTCCCCTTTTGCTTCTCTTAGCAATATGAGCACAACATCGCATTGGGAGCTTATTTTTCAGTTGAACAAGTTCTCATCAGGGAGTGAGATTCTGGACTTGAATTGAGAGTACCAGAAAGAAATACCCTGTGAAATGGAGCTTGATAAATTCATGCTTGGAATTACGACACAATTGCTTGCAAAAGGGAAGAATTGGACTTGGTAACTCGGAGGTATTTTTCAATTTAGTGTTCAACTGGAAGTTGTTTCTAGCTTCACTGCTTTCAAGGATACAATCCTCATCCTGTAGGTATGACTTGGTAACTCCAATGTAGATATGCGACCAAATTTAGCTTCAGAAGATTCAGAAAGTTTGTTTCATACTGAACAAATGTTTGGAGATACTTTGGTTTATAAACCAAAGCTCCTTTTTTTTTTTTTTTAAATATGGCTCTGATGTTCATTTTAACTCCTCAAATCTTTAACAGACCTAGGGATAAACAGGCCAAATTATTTCTGTTTGATTCCAAGAAGTACTGGTTTGTGTTTTTGTGAGGGAGGTTATGTAAGAATATGCTCTAGAAAGAGATGCGTTTGGCAATGTGTGTAATGTATAAATGCATTTTAATTTGGGCATCGTATTAGGGTTTGCAGTAAAAGTGGAATATGAGAAAGATGAAGGTAGGAAAAGTGAAAACAACTGTTAGGAGATGTTAATTAATGTAAAGCAACAGTGACAGAGGAAAAAAATGTTATGGCAGGTGTGCAAGAGTGTGCTCAATAGGGAGGCATGGCTTAGGTGGCTTGGAAATCAAGCTGTGGCTTGGGAGGGCCTGTGGAAGTTAAGGTAGGTGCTGGGTAAATATTACCTACATTGCACACACTGACCAGACTGCACATTTCATAAAGGTTTCTGACTCCAACATGAATAGTACAGTTGTAGGTGCAGAGAAGATCTCCTTCTGGAAGGAGAACAAACAGATGAATGCAGGGAAGATCAGGCTTCACTCTGTTTCTTGTAGCATCTGCAGGGTCTCTTGTCACTGAGCAATATTTAAACACCTGCAAACCTTTAGGAAATTCCCAGACAAAAACATAATACCCCGTTGTGAAGGTTGAAGTCAGGTTTGCCAGACCTCTTCTGCTTGGCATTTTTTCCCTCTGACATGACCTGGAAGTTCCAARTGCAGGTGTCATTTTGTCTTTTTTACTCAAGTCTGCAAATTAAAAGCTAAGTTCAGAGAGACCTTAACTCTGCTCCACAGTTGGCACACATTTAGAAATTTAGAAATGTGRTGGAAAAAGAAAGAAGTCTAGCTTGGATGCAGCTTCTATCTCTCCATCACCTTATCAACCACACAATATTTTACTGTCTTTAACTGTATATCAATGCAAGCTTCTCCTAACAGCCTAGTGTTGTGATGGGGCAGTAGTTTTTAACAGCAGCATCCACAGCACATAAATCTCAACTCCATCTTTCTCTTCAAAGAGTCTGTGTGCCCCCATGGGAACAGATGGGTCCTAACTCCTAGACAAGGTGGCACGTACCGCACGAGCAAGGTGGCAATGAAGAAAGTCCGTGACGCCAGTGAAACACCACATTTGAGTTGCAAAGTGGGAGTTTTTGTGGGACCACCTAGGGAAACAGCACTGTTCTCGTTATTGGCATTGTTTCTTCCAACTACGGAAGTATCTTCCCCAGAAGTGGGAGCAGAGTTAAGTGGCTTTGGTCATAACTGCTTTTGCAGACTTTGCAAGGCATGGAATTCATTTCTTTTATAAAGTTTGAACCTGGGATTTCCAGGCTTTCCAGCTTTTTTGAATGAAATAAATCATAGGCGATTTTTTTTTTCTTTTTTTTTTGTCTGGGAATTATTATTCCAGCCCCCCTCAGATTCCTGTTGGAAATCCTCAGAAGTGCTACCCTSTCTCCCTCCTAAGCCTAATAAATTGACCAGAATTAAATTCTTCTGGAAGCCTTACTTGTTTACCTTGCTGCAAGATGTAGTTTGGACTCTTCTGCCAGTTCCTAGATTAAGTTTGCCCCTCTGGGACTGGAGTACTCACCGCTAAGCGCAGTGTCCCAGGTGAAACGTCCCCAGAACCGCATAGCAAGAAACTGTCCCTCCTCCACTCAGTATGGAAGACCCCTTCCAGTTAGAACTGWTTCATGTAGGGGCTCGCCCCCCTGCCGTGACACTGTCTCTTCCCCTCACCCCGGTCCCAGGTGCCGGATGTGTTCGCTGACCTTCTACTCCAAGTCGGAGATGCAGATCCACTCCAAGTCCCACACGGAGACAAAGCCCCACAAGTGTCCTCACTGCTCCAAGAGCTTCGCCAACAGCTCCTACCTGGCCCAGCACATTCGCATCCACTCAGGGGCCAAGCCCTACACGTGCAGCTACTGCCAGAAGGCCTTCCGCCAGCTCTCCCACCTGCAGCAGCACACACGGTAAGGGCCGCGGGAGGCCGGGCCCSCCGCGCCGCGCGTGGCCGCCGCCGCCGCAGGTGGCCGCTGGGGACACCTCCCGCAGGCCGCTCGCTTCTCGTACACGACGGATGGGCAGTAGTGGTGTCTTGCACGTGGCTCTCTGCTTGCTGCGAGGGGCTGGGTGYGCACAGAGGTTGGCGCTGCTGTGCTCTAGGGCTTGTCTGTAGCCAAGTGGTGTTTCTGAGAGAAGGTAGGACTTGTTTTGTCAGGGTAAGAGTGGACGTAGAAGGAGTGTTCCCTCTCGCCCCAGTGTAGTTCTGACGCGCATCTCAGTCCGGGCCTGCAGCCCTCTGCGGTTCCAGCCATAGGCTTCCCGCACACAGGTTGGCCAATGCCCCTCAGTCCAAGCTCTATTGTTCCTCTCTCTGGATCCTCCCCCGGTGCAGACTGACCAGGGCCCCTTGAATGCAAGGGGAGCACGGTTTGAGACCGAACACGCTCGCTCCCCACGCACTTTGGAGTTCCTCCACGCAGCCCGATAGCGTGGTGCTGTCCCACCCCCCTTGTGCCCTCATTCCATCAGCACTAGCCAGATGGCGGTCGTGTCCAACTGCTGCTGCTCCTCCTCCTCTTCGGCAGGATCCACTCCAAGCTCCACACGGCGATTGTCAAGCCCCACAAGTGTCCTCACTGCTCCAAGAGCTTCGCCAACACATCCTACCTGGCCCAGCACCTCCGCATCCACTCGGGGGCCAAGCCCTACACCTGCCRCTACTGCCAGAAGGCCTTCCGCCAGCTCTCCCACCTGCAGCAGCACACACGGTAAGGGCCAGAGGAGGCTGGGGGCCCGGCCCTGGCCCCCCGCGCTGCCGGCATGCCCCTGTGGAGCACGCGCGCCAAGCATGCGGGGGGCGGGCGGGGAACGCGGCCGGCTGCGCCCCCGCACGGAGGTGGCCCACCGGAGTGGACGGAGCGGAGGCTGCGCAGGAGACACCGACCGCGGCAGGGCAGACGTGGCCACGCGCCGGCCCCGGGCATCCTTGGTCTTGCACCGTGGGGGGCACAGAGAGAGAGAGCGACAGAGAGAGAGGCATTGGCCGTAGGGGATCCCAGCCCGGCACCACGAGGGTTGGGCTTTGTGACTGAGTGTGCGGAAGCTTCTGGCATTGCAGGGGGACAGGGACAGACACACACTAGGTGATTGCAGCCTGACAGTGTGAGGGGAAAGTGGCTTGAGCGTGGTTTGAGCTGTTTCCAAGGCAGTGTGGGAAGCGGAGAAGGTTCTCCTCTCGGTCATATGGGACACCTGAACTGGGAGCATGGAGCCTTGGCCTCCGGACCCCTTCCCAGCATCCTTTCAGGTGGCCCACGTGCCGAGCTGGTCACATACTCTTGAGCTCTTGCTTCTCATTCTCTGAACTCTGCTTSACCGCATATCTTCTTGAACACCTAGCTGGACACAGGGGCTAGACAGAGCTCTCTTTGTCCAGCTAGAACAGCATCTGGAGGCAACATGACCCTCTACCCTGCTCTCCTGAGTGGCTGTGAGACTTTGGTGACAGCATCAGGCCCTGGCAGTCTCTCCTGCCTGGCTGCTCACTCCCTCCCGTTTGTGCTCTTCCTCCTTGACAGTATCCACACCGGGGACCGGCCCTACAAATGTGCTCACCCTGGGTGTGAAAAGGCTTTCACCCAGCTTTCTAACCTGCAGGTAAGGCGTCGGGCTTGCCCTCCTCGCCACTGGGGGAGGCGAACGTGGCTGTCAAGAGGGAGGGATTGGGGCAGCTGGAGGGAAAGCAAAAGGGCACTGAAAAGCTGTTGATGCATTGGGGGAATCATGGCTCTTGTGGCAGCCATCACCTCAAGAAGTCATAAAAGGAGTTCTGTTCTGCAGAATTGCAAGCTTGACCTGAAAGCACAGGGACCTTGGTAAAGCTGGGTTCCCCTCTCTCTGCTCTGTTCTGTGTTTTCTGGCTCAGCTGGAACAAGTCTTTTTCTAAACATGAAACATGGAATAAAACAGGAGTATCTGATGTATTGTTTTACACTGAGAGGAGGCGCTGTGAGAATAGGGAGTAGGGAAGTAGAGGTGGTGTGCTCCATTCCCATACCTTGGGCAACTGTAGGACATGCCAAGTAGCAAAGAGCTGTAAATGCTCACGAACACCTAGCACAGATTCTGCTCTCAAGGGCAGTGACAGATGTGGGGAGTAAATGTGGAGAGAGGCAGAAGAGGAGGGGAGGAAAAAAAAAAAAAAAAGACTGGGAATTGGGTGAAGACTGAGATGGGGGTTGTGGGATACTCCCCTCTTCTGGCATCTGGTATGCCCAAGGTAAAGCSGCATCTGTGGGGATGATGTTGGCTGGAGATGAGAGCTCTGTGTCCTGCACTGGGAGCCAGGTGTATCACYCAGCATGCTGGGGCCTGGGGAACTTGGAGCCTTCTGGAAGGAGAAGGAGAGGTGGTAACGCTACCTTTAGTAGTAGTGCAGTATTAATTTCCTGCATTTGCTTTCTCTTTGCTGTGCCCTGCTGCCATCACCCCAGTCCCACAGACGGCAGCACAACAAAGACAAACCTTTCAAGTGCCACAACTGCCACCGCGCGTACACGGATGCTGCCTCCTTGGAGGTGCACCTGGCCACRCACACGGTGAAACACGCCAAGGTCTATACCTGCTCCATCTGCAGCCGGGCCTACACCTCGGTGAGTGTCTGCAGCACGGGGCTGCGGGAGCGCGAGTGGAGGGAGCTCCTGCAGGCCCCAGGGAGCAGCCCCACGGGCTGCTGCGCGACCCCCTGTTGGCTTTTATAAAAGTGGTCTCCTCCTCTCATGCTGTTGTTGCCGCTGCAGGAGACGTACCTGATGAAGCACATGCGGAAACACAACATCCCCGACCCGCAGCAGCAAGTGGTCCAGGCCCAAGCGCAGGCCTCGCAGCAGCAGCAGCAGCAGCAGCACTTCCAGCCCCAGGGCGGTGGGGCAGCAGGGGGCCCTTCTGGAGACACTAACCAACCCAACCCTCCCCCCCAGTGCTCCTTTGACCTGACTCCTTACAAGACTTCAGAGCATCACAAGGACATCTGCCTCACTGTCAGCACCAGCGCCATCCAGGTGGAGCACCTCTCCAGCTCCTAGAGAGCCCTCGACCCAGGGAGCAGAAAGCCTCTTGTGCATAGCCTGTGCCCGGGGGCACTGCGTGTGCCGCGGCCCGCCTCGTGCAGCAGTCTCCGGCCTCTCCTCCTGCAACAGCCTCTTCTGGCCGTGTAACCCTGTTCATGGCAGCCCCTTGAAGAACAGCCTGTGTCAAGGGGTGCTCCTTCTGTGCAGCAGACTGCCTGGTAGGAGGATGCTTCCTTGTGCAAGAGCCCCTTTCCCGTGCTGGGATCACTTCCTCATGCAAGAGCCCCTCCTTTCAAACCCAAAGRAAAGGCCCCTGGTTTGCCTTCTCTCTCGCTGTAGGATGTGTCTGAAGGGGGGTGCCTGATGAGTCACGCATGGTGGACGGGATGGAGAGAGGGTCCTTGCATGTGCAGGGGCTCGGACACACGTTTTCCACAGGCCATAGAAGAACGTGGCAGGGTTCACAGCTGGGTGGGGGCGGTTGAGGRTTTCCTGAGTGTCTAAGAGAGAAATATCCATTCCTGTCCCTCCTGCCTGTGAGGGCAGGAGGCCCTGCCCCGAGGACCAGATGGGAGAACGCGCCTCCCCACTGGAAGGGGCGGCCGGGGGCAGGGGCGGCAGGAGCTTCTCTGGACCTGAAGGTGCCTAAACTGCCCGAGGGCTCCGAGCTCCGCACTCCCATCCCTGCCCTTGCGAGAGCAACAGAGAGGAGCCGGAGCCGGCTGCTCCCTCTCCCAGCTGCCTGAGGAGCGGGATGGCCGRGGCGCTGTGCGAGTGTGGGGTCTGGCTCATTGCTCTTCCGGCCCGTTGTGGATGATGTGCTAGCAGACCGTGCTCCTCCTCTTCTCCCTCCTTCTTCTCCCTTCCTCAAAAGAGCCTGCAGGCATCAACAACAAACCAAAAAGCGACTGGAGGGAGGGTAAGAGACTGCCAAAATAACCACGGCCCTTCTCTCCRCGCCCTTCCCGGAACGGCGGAGCCGCCATCCTCAGGGTGGCACRGTGGGCTGCCCCAGGCTCCCACAGGGAAGGAGGAGGAGGAGCAGAGCAGTCTTTTCAAGGAGTGAGCAGGAGGCAGGGAAGGGCTGGCTGCTCCTGCCCGCCTCCCATCGGAGCGCTCTCCCGGGTTCCCTCTTGCCAAGACGGGCTGGACTCACATGGCAGTGGTGGCCTCTTCTGGACCCTGGTCATGGGAGAGAATCCCCAGAAGGTGGACAGTGGAGAGAAGGGGATGAAGATCCCCACAGAGAGACCAATCTAATGAGAAGGGGGAGCCAACAAGAATAAACTGAAGGCCCCTTGAATTTATATATATATATATATATAAATATCTATTCCCCACCCCAGCCCGCTCTGTCCTTGCTGTAACTGTTTCTATCTCTGTGTTTATAAAACGCATAATCCTGGCGAATTTTTATTTTCAATCTTTGTTTGTTTTTCCCTCTCTCTTCGCCTTCAATTCTCCTCCTTTTTTTTTTT